GTGTGAGCTAATAGTAAGAATTTAAATAATAATATTTGCTCGCATACTCCACTTCTCTTTTTTAATAGTTTTACTTCTTGAAAATACTGGAAAGGGAAAATCATACGATGCATACCATCCTCTCAGAAGACTTTTTAAATGAAGAAGATAGATCGTTATAAAGCGCATATAAATAGACACGCTACTTTTATTACGTTATGTATTTCAAAAAGTCAATTGATATTATTAATTTTATTTATACAATATAATGTAATACTTTATATTGTTATCATAACTCTGAAGTTTCAAAAACATGAGCTGAAAATGCAAAGGAGAATACTCTGATAGTAAATGCAATCCTAATTTTATCTAGGGGCTCCCATCAGACAGGAAATCAAGTGTTCCTCAAAGGTAAAAGGGGTTGATAAAGCACTGGGCCCAACGACTGGACAGTAATGAACACACCTTATCTCATTTCGTTCGCAAGTTTTCTAGCCATGCTTGGCTGAGTTCATGATTCATCCAGAAGTCGTTCGCTGTATAGTTCCTGGGGTCAAATCGTATTCTCTGTTTTAAACTTTTATAATGCCTGTCACAAATGGCATTTAATTTTGCGATGACTACATTCGTACCTTTAATAAGGTCGCGTTCTGTTTTATTTGAAAGCATCAATCTTACCAACTCTTGTGTTACTATAATGAATGTCTTAAGCGTATAAATTCTGTTATAAAAGTCTGCCTCTAAAGCTTTAAATTTATTCATAATGAACTGACTTTATATTGAGGATACTGAAGATATGTTTAAGATTTTAAACAAATGAATTCGGAAAGAATAATATCATGAGTATAAATAATGCCTCAATCGTAACTGCAGGTTTTTTGTAAAGAAACTAAAGTGCTTAAAATAAATAATTTCCCGAAAAATAAATTGATAATTTTGCAATTTCCCGATATTTTTGTATTTGAAGAAATATTTCAGTAGTTATTAGACTTCCAAATATGAATATAAATTCTATGAGTGTGATGTGAAAAGACCAATACACCTTTCTCTAAAAAATGTTGCCCGCCGCATTTTTAAATATAGTCGAGTGCAAAAGTTTAAGACCACACATGGAAAACTCAGATTTATTGGAATTCTGCAACATATGTTATAAATGAAAAAAATAGACTTACAAGGTTACTGAAGTATAGTCAGTATTTTGTCGGACCTCTTTAATTTTGTATCACTGCTGCAATCATTTTAGGCATGCTATGAACAAGACTGGCAGTAAGCTTCAGAAATTCTCTGTACACCCCCACATGCTTTATTGCTTTAACAAGTTCTATAGCACTGGATGGTAGCTTCTCCGCGACTTTATTTTTCACAGTACACCACAGTTTCTCTATGGGATTCAATTCTGAGCTGTTACCTGGTCAGTCAAGCACTTGGATTTGAGTAGCCCTCAGATAGTTCTTAACATTCTTTGCCCTGTGGCATGGAGCCTCATCATGCATGAAAATTGAACATCTATGAATATCCAAGGGAAGCTTCAACTTGTCACGTAACAAATTAAGGTACTGATTGTCGTTCATCGTGGTTTTAGGTAGTAGGAAATATACAGCAGCAGTACCAGACGCAGACATTGCACCTCATATCATCTGGCTTGGAGGGTGTTTCACTGTCGGAATCGTATATCTGTCATCATATCTTTTTACAAATGGGCGGCGAATACATTTAGCACGTTCAGAAAATTGCTGCACGCGTGACTCATCGGAAAATAACACTGTACTTCACTGTTGTTTGGTCCTATTCTGATATTGTCTGGCTAAAGTCAGTCGTTGCTTTTTCATACTTTGAGTAGGTTCGAGGTTTCCTTGCAGGTTTATAGGAAAATAAACAATAATCTTTAGTCAAACGTCTTGAAATAGTACTCGAACTGACGTTGGTACCCTTTTCAGCCAGATCAGCTCTAATTTTATGGCAGGAGGTTGTTGGACATCAAGTGATCATCTTTCTCATCACACGATCATCACGTATACAAGTCTTTCTTGAGCGACGGCTTCTTTTAAGATCCGTATAATATCCCAAAATTTTTGAATATACTGATAGATTGATGCACGCCTGTCTTGCTGACCTTCAAACTTATTTCACGTTCAGGAAAGCCAACGTCATGCAGGGCCGCTATTTTTGCCCATTTTTCAACAGCAAGTGAACGGTTTTTACTCATTACAAGAATTATACAACAGTACTGTGTACAAAATCCAATAACAAACTACTGATATATTAGACCACGTTATATTTATAGCAGTAGAAAGCTTTTGATGCAATCAACCCATGAGATAACGCAATTACGAGCGAAAATGGTGCAATCTGTTAAAATACAGGAAAACGGCTACTGGTCTCAAACTTTTGCACGTGACTGTAATTCAGTTCTAAATAGACAAATACACTGCTGAAAGCGATTGGGGGTTATTATGATTTTTATTATAAACTGCGGATGAGGAAATGTGTTGGTGACTGATATGTGATGTATAGTTGTAAGATATGTGAAAAGAAAAAGAAGCAATGAATATGGAAAAATTAAATTTTATTGACGATATTTGTCGGTAAACAAAAAAGTGCCTAATTTGTGCATATTATACAAACAAACAAAAGATGTGATTTCTCGGATACAAGTGAGTTTCAATAACGATTATGATTTCCATTGATCGAAAACAATGTCGCACACCTAGAAAGCATGGAATCAATGAGGTTATCAATGAAAGACTGGAGTACTCTCTCCTACTCCTGTAAAAAGAGAACTTTCAAACTGCTGAATTATTTTCTGCGGGGGGGGGTGATAAAAGACTAGTAACCTTTCGCTTTAAAATGTCCCAAACATGTTTTGTTGAGTTCATATCTGGGAAACATGTTGTCCAATCCATTCGAAGGATTCCTTCGACGAAAAGGAAATTATATACTAGCTGAGCACGATGTCGCCTGGGTTATCATTCATGAGAATGAATCCATCCCTGATTTCTGCAGCGTGAAAGCTCACAGCAGGTCTGAGGGTCTTATCTCTATAAAGCTGAGCCGTTAGTACTTCGTTCCTGATAATGTGCAGGTCAGTGCGGCAACGGATAGAATTACTGGCCCAGATCATCACTCCGGCTCCGCCAAATCGGACATTTTCATGCACAAATGTAGGAGTATTCCGTGTATCAGGTTCTCTCCAAATGAGAATCCTCCCTTGTCAGGTTGTACACTAAAGTGGGACTCGTCTATGAAGCGCACATAGCTCCACTCATCTTGTTCGCATTTGAGATGCTCCTGTGCCCACCTTCTGCGGGAGCATGGTGGTCTTATATCAACTAAACGCAAACTATACGTCCGCGAGTATACAAACTCACAAAATGGAGTCTGTTTCGAATAGTTTGAGTCAAAATCTGGTACCAGTAGCCCTCTGAAGGTGCTGTTGGAAGCAAGCGGAGTTCATAGTGCGGGTTCTTCTGAACGTTAGTGTTAAATGCCAATCCTTATTTTGTGTTGTTGCAGGCGTACGACCTTGTTCTGATCTTTCTGAACATTTCCAGTTTCTAAAAAATGATTCCATAGTCTGAAATGACACTTTAAGAAACTCCTAACGCTTCCGCTACAACGGATTGCATTTGACCCGTTTCTAAACTACCGATAGCCCTCCAGCTAAGTCATCTTGCTAAGTCATCACCTAAGACAGTCGGATTCAGCTAAGTCATCTTACTGAGACATCGTATTTACTGTTGCAAAACATTCAACGCATAAAGTGTTTTTAATATCCTCTTACAGAAGGAATGCTTCTGGTTCCTTTTCACTCCTTATCTAAAGCGCGGAGTTTTCGATGTCACAGACAAAATTTGCGTATTGCCAACATTGTAAACGTTACAAATTTTCTTTTTAATCTCTTCTGCTTTATTTTTGTTAAAAATTTTGTCGATTATGTGGTTAATTCAGATGAACTCACAATATCTCCTAATTGTTTTAACAGTGTATATAGATTTTTGAGTGCCATAAAAAAACGTAATTCAAAGCTCGTTGAAAAGCAAAATTATATTTCTCTCCAAGGGCAAAATATCGATTGAATGCGTATAAACATTTTGCAGTTTAAGAAGTGAACTAAAGCTTGGGATATTTTTTAACTCTCCAGTTTGGATGTTACCTTCCCCTTCCTTCTATTTCAAGAATTTTCGTTTATGTTACTAACAACATGATCAAATCATTCCATATATATTTATTCAACAGTCACAAAAATAGCCCCTTTCTAGACAGTTAATCATAATGCTTGGCCATTCTTGATAAATTTCGCTGCGTGAGTGTATAAATATGCAACACATCACAGTGTGATATAATACAATCCTTATCAGCTAAGCTACATATATATGTTGCACATACGTTAGGGCGGCATAAAAATAGACCAAAGAGAAATTCACTAATTCTAAAAGTTCATATGTTGAGGTCTTTACCATTTCGATAGCCTTTCAGCTTCCAGATTATTTGTGGTAATAATGTGTGAAATGTGTTTAAAAGTGTTTTTAAAATATCAAATATAGTTCGTGATCTGATTTTCATAAAATTTTATCATTTTACCCTAATAAAAATAGCTTAATATTACATTCAGTTAATTCTTTAAGTTTGGATTGCTAGAATAATGCTATAAAATATATGAAATTTGAGTAAAATGCCTACGTTCTGTAGTTACTGTTATGTACAACACGTTATAAGTAGGATATCCGTCAGTTAAAAATCTACGTAGCTTATTTTAACAAGAAAAAAATGTCGTTAATTGTTTTAATATATTTTTCAGATTGAAGAACTGTATGTGTATTTAGTATGATGTTTACATAAAACCCAAAATATATTTAAGTACTAAGAATGTAAGACAAACGCGATATCTCTAGGTGTGGGTTTTATTGAAATTTAATAAATTTACGTTTGTATCACGATTTTGCATGCATTTGATCATAATTTTTATAAAATTAACGTATTTTGAAATCTTTGATACTTAAGTGTTTTTTCTTTATTTACAGGATCTTCAGAACGTGAAGTAGGAGTCCGAAAGGAGCACATTGCAAGCCTTTACGATTCTCTGGCGGCTGAGCTGCGTGAACGCCTAAATAATCCAAATAGCTGCCCCATTCTTTTACCTCCCAAGGACTATGACACGGTGAGCAGAAGGCAGGGTAAGCTTGATAATATCGATACCAGGCGAAGTACTAACTATAACCTCGTTGGGTTGACGAAGACAGCTGCTCCTGTACCACTTATCCACCAGAGCACTGGTGGAGGAAAATCACCACCTAAAGCACAGGATTCGACAAGCGCGAAGTCATCCGGCGGAAAATCAAGTAACAAATCAAGTAGTGGTATCGGATCAGACGAAGCGTTAAGTTCCGCAATTCAGGAGGTATCCTCTCATCCGGATTTCGAAAGCAAAGAAATCGATCCTGACACTAGCTCGGATGATGAGGAAGACTGGCCTGATGCAACCGGAATTCCCGATGACGAAGATGATGATGAGGAAGATGAAGTAGTGCCCTCATATGAATGGCGTCGTCCTCCTCGATATGCTCCCGCCACGGGAGCAGCACCGAGAGATCGACGGAGTCGTTCTTCACCAGACGAAGAGGATGATCCTCGATTTGGACGTCTCCACAGAGGAGTTCGAGGAATTGTCGATAAGTTTGAACGTCGTGCTATTTCTCCGCCCCTTCCACAAGAGCCGTCCCATCAGAACAGGACGCCTATCAAAACTGCTGCCAATGCCAGAAGATCAGATCCTTACGCAGATCATCCTTATCGAGTAGATGGGGATTCGCCAGAACGATCGCCACCACCTGAGCATCTAAAGCATTTCGAAGTTGTATACCGTCGGCATAGTAATCCCATCGAAAAGAAAGTACAGAGAGACTCCCGCCCCGTGTCATATCCCGCTGTGATGCTCGATCCTGTTTCACCACGTCCAGCTAAGTCCAGGTCTGGACCGGATCCTCCTGTGGACAATAGGCCGAAATATAAGGAGATGCCACGCCAAATTTTCGGTGACAGACCACCACAAGACATAATTAGTGACCACCACAATCCTGTTCAAAGGTTCCCAGGCAATTTTGATCGGTATATGGACAGACATTCGCCATCACACATCCCTGCTCGAGAAAGGGATTTCGCTGAATTTTATAGAGAATCACGGCCTGTATCTTCATCTCCAGTTGGAGTTAGGCAATTCCGTTCTCCTGAAAGACAATCTTCTCCTCATGAATTGTATCCGAGACAACGTCAAATTAGTGCAGTAGACGTTCGACAAGAAAGAGCTTTTCCATCACGGTATGTAGAGCCTTATCCTGGTTCAAGGCCATCTTACCATCCACCTCCAAATGAGGAGAGGAGAAGATCGGGTTATTTTGACTTACCTGTTGATCCCAGAGACTATAGGCATAGTTTTGTGGAATCCCCCTTCCGCAGGCTACCACTGAACACTCAGTATTAGTTATTTTGGCCTTGCTGTTTTACATGGCTCTTCATCTTCTCCGTCTATGGTCAGTGATGTGCCACATAAACTCTGAATGAACTCTGCATTATTTAATTGTGTATTCATAAATATGCTTTCAGGTACAGACGATTGCGGAATGCTTTCGAGTCAAACCTCTTTGTATGTTGTTGCTTGAAACAAGCCACGCTTGAAATAATAATGAGAAAGGGTAGTATGTCGCTGTTGAACCATTTCTTCAAAGAAGACTTACTGAAATTGTGAAAACTGTCGCAAGTACTATGTCACATTGAAATTTCTGTGCTATCATGTCAATTATTGAAAACCATTGTAACATAGGGAAATTGTTACGTTACTTCTAATGAAGCAATTTCATCAAATTTATAGACAAGCATAAAAGATGCGCGGAAGATTTACTCGTGAAATCATTTCATTAAGATAAAAAGCATTAACTGCCATTTTTAGTGACAAAATTTTTTAATATTTATCTAAAACAGATATCATTGAACGTTCTTTCATGAAATTTTATTTTGGATTAAATTATATACGAAAATTATCTTATAAACATTTCAGTCCTTTAGATCCAAGAAGATCCGAACAAAATCCCAAATCTTTTTATATTTGACATAATGAGTTACTAAAACGCATTAAATTTGTGACAATCACACATTGACCATTAAAAAAATAAACCGTTTGTATTGCTAATATAGTTAACTTGTGGCTCGACAAAGCTGCTACTGATTCCGACGCACTAAACTATCAAGTCTTCCCCCTTAAAAAAATGACTTTTAAAAGCTAAAGCAATGTGTGCTATATTTACGTTACATATTTCATTTCTAGATTTAACTGCAAAATAAATAGTTGAAACTTTTTATGCAAAAGCAGATCTATATATAACATACTATATTGAAAACACAAAGTGTACAGTTTGTTGAAAGACTAATTTATTTGTTAAAAAGTAAATTGTGGATATTTAGATGACTGGTTGTAAATGAATTACGACTGTTTTCTTCTTTATGGGATTAATAAAGATTCATATTTTGTATGTTTGTCTCATGTTTTTATTCATTGTTGTATTGTTTGGTACATTCGTAATTGCATTTCTATGATTTTGTCGATATCATTTGAGCAACGAAGATTATAATTTTCTACCACAACCTTTTTCTAAATTATGAAGAAGTCTTTGGTATAACAACATTACTTACTTACTTATCATCTGTTGAGTTGCTGTACCGCCTGTTAGATGAATATCAGCTTTTGTATTCAGTTGGCGGAGCATTCTGTTGTCTCTAAGACCAGCCAAAAATCTCTATGGAAGATAAAACTTTTAGTGGAATTTATAACGTTACTTCTTTAGATGGATATTTGTGACCTGTGGTTATTAAAGAGACCTTGTCAAGACTTGTTGAATGAAAATTTTAGCAGTGTTTTATGCATTGTGATTCTGAGTATACAAGAAACATTTAGCAATATTCAAAGCAAGGAATTTCAAAATTCCTTGCTTAGCCATTTTTCAAAAAAGTGCGTTTCATATAAACTTTCTGCTCAAATAAAAGCGATTCAACTATGGCCGAGCAGCAGCCACACATGAAACAATTTCTCAACCAAAAATGAATCATATTCTCTTAGAATGTTATTACAAAGATATTCTTCAGTGAGTAGTCCTTAAATGCTTTTCTATAAATAATTAATTCATTGACAGTGTTACTAGAGAAAACAATTTTTTGTTAAATACTTAGATAAAAGAAATGCACGCTTCTTTAGTATAGAATAAGAGAAGAATTAATATTTTATTCTGTATATCTAAGTGTGAACACTATTTTAATAATTTAAACAAACGTGTTAAATTAATGGCGTAATCCAATGTAGTTAGACTGTTTATTATTACATAGTGTAAAACATTAATCTGATTGAGAAAGGAGACTTTTTCCAGAATGCATTTTCAGGAAACCTAGCTTGTATTCCTGTTACACATAAAAAAGTTAACCATTATTTTTGCTTTTTTTTATCTTCGGCATTCGAACCTCCAGCGTCAGATACTTAGCCATGATGAGAATTTTACCACGAAAACAACCAGATAACAAGTTTATGTAATTGCCAAGGATTCATAATTGCCTAATTTGATATACTATCTTGAATTCAGTGATAAGATGAGTAAAACTAAATACGCATTCCTTAAGTTGCTGCATATGAATACGTTCTGACTAGGACCTGTACCTAGACAGACTCGAATTCTGGGGTAAATAATCAGCGACTAGAACCATCGTTTATTTGGTGGTAGGTTCAGGCTAGGCAAGGACCGTACTGGTACTGGTTTGCCTGCCCTTTCGTTGTGAGGACGTTACATGGTTTGATATCGAAGCTTGTCCTTGGAAGTTTGGCCCTCCTTGGTCAGTATTGGGGTATTGTCTTTGACACTGATCTTAGTTCTCTTTGTTGGCGGCTGCTTGTCGGCCGATTTGACTTGAGTTTCATAACCACTGTCTGTGTGCAATTTTGGTCTCCTGGGTGGACCGGGAAGGTTATGCCTCCTTGGTTCGCCTCTAGGGACATCCTCTTTGTTGGCGGCTGCTTGTCGGCCGATTTGACTTAAGTTTCATAACCACTGTCTGTGTGCAATTTTGGTCTCCTGGGTGGACCGGGAAGGTTATGCCTCCTTGGTTCGCCTCTAGGGACATCCTCTTTGTTGGCGGCTGCTTGTCGGCCGATTTGACTTGAGTTTCATAACCACTGTCTGTGTGCAATTTTGGTCTCCTGGGTGGACCGGGAAGGTTATGCCTCCTTGGTTCGCCTCTAGGGACATCCTCTTTGTTGGCGGCTGCTTGTCGGCCGATTTGACTTGAGTTTCATAACCACTGTCTATGTGCAATTTTGGTCTCCTGGGTGGACCGCGAAGGTTATGCCTCCTTGGTTCGCCTTTAAGGACATCCTCTTTGTTGGCGGCTGCTTGTCGGCCGATTTGACTTAAGTTTCATAACCACTGTCTGTGTGCAATTTTGGTCTCCTGGGTGGATCGGGAAGGTTATGCCTCCTTGGTTCGCCTCTAGGGACATCTTGGGGCACCATAACTGTGTTTGGGCGTCTCTATGCCCGCATCTTGGAGTCCCTTCTTCCTAGCGTATGAATGTGTATTTTCATGTAAATAATGTAATTCTGCTGTAGTATTTGAATCATATTCCCAACGACAGATTTTTTTTGCATTATTCTGTATGGTATGTATGTACACAGTGTATCTTTGTGCAAAAACAAATTTTCGTTGAGTTATAAGAAATTATGTATTCATTTAGCATAATGTTGAGGCAAAACCTGTAATGGCCGGTCATTCATTCATTCATTCATTCGTTCATCATGCACTCACTAAATCTCTTCCCAACCCCTTGTAGATTCTGGCTCACTAACTTAAGAATAATAAACCGGACAGAGTATAGGATTCTATACAAATAAAATTAATTTTGCGTTTATAAATAATTTTTATTACATGAAGCATAAATATAAATATTTATTTTTACAATTTATGCAAAAATATGCACACAAAAACACTATTATTTCATACACGAAATATTGCAGCTTTGTAAAAGCATTATTCTTCTATAAAAATTAACATAAGTGATTTTCGTTTTATCCGAAACTTTACCTGTAACTGACCAACTCGGAAACATATATGTTGCCACGTGCTGGTGCACCACATCCCGGGCTAGCATGGATTGATAATGAATGCATTAAACAATAATATATTTGCAGATAAGATCTGATCAGTCTTGAATGTAGTTTTAATATATGGCTGTTTCTAATGTGTTAAAAATGTAAATGTAATTAAAATGTAGTTTTAATTGATTTATACTTGCTATATATAAACCTTAGTTTAAATTAATTACTGTTAAAACTTCATTATTTTTTAATCAGAAGAAAATGTTGTTCTGACTTCTAAAGTTTATTAGCACGTTAAGCGCTAGCACGTTCATTATTAATTCCATTAGCTTTCATAATTATTCAGTTTCAAATGAGTTAATAATATGAAGTTTAGTAAAATAGTTTATTTTCATCAAAAATTAAAATAATTAATCAAAGTTAATTATCTAAGTAAATAAGCTTAATCCCTCAGTTAAAAAAATCTGATGTGTACACCACATGACTTCCTTGTATTGGAATATTAAATTATAACCATTTTTTCTTGCATTTCATTTAAACTTATTGGATTGAATTAAATCTACTTCGCCGACAGCGCATAAACCACAATAGAATAAATGCATTCTTTAAAATTCACTCTAGCTCTTGTTTACGATAGCGACACTCCGGCGCTAGATTCACTTAACAGTATTAATAATTATATAACAGTTAACTTATATAGTAATTTTATAACGGAAACTAAGTTAACTGTTATATAATCCAATAATTATATAACAGTTAACTTATATATTTCGTTCATATTATAACTCAAAATGCACAAAATTTATATCATTTAAAGAATAGAATTATCTAATCGTTTCCACATGTTCCATTCAAATACTATAATAAAGCTAGAATGATGTATAAAAGAAATTAACCAAACAAAACAAAAAAGAAACAGTTTTTCACAGACGATTGAGTATTTCTCATTTAATTAATTCAGTTCTCACTTCGCGAGAAGGCAAAAATAAACTCAAAATATCTATATCAAAAATTACGAAGTAAATCTTAAACGCTTATTTCCTCAAAAAAATTCTAGAACGGATAAAGCATGATTTAAATAATAAATGAAGGCGTTATCTTTGTTCTTGAGAAGCTAAGTTTCTCTAGATTGGCAACAAATCCACTAGTCTCCTGTTTCAAATGTAAACATCAATGGCCGCCATTAAAAAAGGCTTAGCGGCAATTAAACAACTTTAAAATTGCTGATAATTCTAAAAATATTGCACACAGATTTACTAAAGGCATAAAATCCTTAACCGGAAGATAAAAACAACATAATTCAATCATTTTTAAAGCAAAAAATGTACAATTTACCAACATATAAGAGTAAAGAAACCGAGATCACTGAGCCGGGTAACAGAGTGGATATATATATAAATATATTTATATACGTTTGGTGCGGCCGATTGCAACCGAAATACGAGGTGCACATCTACATGTTATAGCAGTCTTATATACAAAATTTCAACGTTTTTGAGTCTACTCGTTTTTGAGTTATGCGAGATACGTACGTACGTACGTACATACGTTCGTATAGACGCCACGAAAAATTCTCTTCAGAATTAATTTTAAAGCAGTTTCATAATTTTTTTGGAGGAAACGAGTCTTTATTCTGTCCTTACGTGCAGATATCACGCAAAAACATCGTTAAATTGCATTCGATAGCGGTCAAAATGGATATTTTCGTTGAAATATGCTGCCTGAAACTTTTGGAGATTACAAAACTTCCTTTTTACTTCGTACAAGGAAGTAAAAAAGCGGTTCCGAATAATGCACTGCTTATCTTTCACAAAAATCTTAGCAAAATAAAAGATGAATATTTTGATCCACAAGAAAAAGACCTTGATATCATTAATATTAGATATTTTCCTTGAAGAAAATACTACTTAACACTTACTTAGTGACTGACTGATTAAAAGCATACATATTTTCGTAACAGCATGAGTCCCAATGTTGAGACTGGCTCTTTGTTTGCACTTTTTACTGCTTTCTTCATATATATTTAAAATATTAATGATTTTTTGAAAAAGCGATGATTCTTATTGATTAGCCTCTTGCATGAATTGTGGCGAAGTTCTAGAGGGATGTTTTACCAAGGCTGTTATAAACATTAAACTGCCATGAGAAAGAGGTATTTTTTTATTTTAACGCCAAAATGCCCCTGGTACATTATACCTACGTATCTTTAATATATTGCCTTAATTTCGTGCACATATTTCAAAATGCACGTATTATGTACGTTCTTATAAACACCACGAAAAATATTCTAAAGCCGTATATGTACAATCTTGCCGGTCAGAGGGAACAAAGGATAAAACTGAATGATATATAAATGGTTAAGTGCTGTTTTCCATAAAATCAATTGTGTTGTTATAG